CCAGAAGCGATGGCCCGATGATATAGTTTTGTATTGTCTGCATTCAATTATAATTGCGTTAAATTTTACTAATAATTATTAAATAAGTATGTAATCAAATATTCTTACATAAAATAAATAACTGAAATAAATAGCAAATGTTAAAAAATATTTATATGCAGTCGATATCTTTTCAGTTGACATAATTTGGGGACAATTTTTATTACATTGATTTAAGAAAAATTTAGAAATAAAATGCCAATAAACTTAATTTTAAATTATCTATATGTTATTCAATAGATTTGATGTATTTTAGACTTATTTTGATTACTTTGCGCACAATATGTTAGATTATGGCAAATATTAATCTTTACTGAAATTATTTTAATTTAATTCGTCTAATTGTCAAATCATTGTTTTTATTATAATATTCTGCAACAGATAATTAATTGCATGTCTATATTGCAAAATTTTATTTCAGTGTTAAATAAACTCAAAGTTGATATTATATTATAAGTAAATTAAAATAAATTAACAAATCATTTGTAATATACAATTTGGTATGATATAGATATCCGACTTCACAGAATTACTACCAGATGATGAAATCCATTGACACCATATTTTAGAATGTGCACTTTTAAGTCTCATTAAACTTCCACATGTAAATCTTTATCACAAAAAAATTTATAAGTGTCTTAACATTTTCCCACAAATTGTGAAAAATTTAGCTAGAAATTTGTAAAGAATTCAATATTCCTGTTCTTATTACCTCTATTTATGTTACCACCACAATATGTCATTTATGGAAAACATTTCAAGACAAATGTAAAATTATTTTGATTTTCAACATTTTGATGTGTATATTGTTTATTGTTAAAAATATTTTTTTAAAATAACATTACTCCACAATGAAAATTTACTGTTACTTTGATTTTTAAAATGCTCACATAAGCAAACAAATTGTATACAGTATATGGTGTAAATGGCAAATTTCATCATCTGGTAGTAATATTGTGTAGTCGTATAGTAAATACCATAAAGTAGCTAGGAGATTATTTAAATTTCTACTTCGAACTCACTAAAGTCCTGAACTGTAGATTTATGTGTTTCCTAAACCCGAGCATGATACAATATATGCTGATCAATTGTACTAGCAAAAAAATTACCATAATTTATAGGTAGATTATTTAAAAAGTATATTCTATTATTTTCATACACTAGGAAAACATTAGTGAAACTCGTATTGTCATCTATTGATTGTGTGATTAATTAATTAAGTATTGGTTAATTAATTTATCAGAATATTGTGTTATGTACAATATGTTATTCTTTATAAATTATTCTATACAAAAGTGTGGTTAAAAACTGATTATATTTGCTGTAATTGTATAACGAATTGATTATTAACGACCTAAAGAGAGACAAACATTTTACAAAAACTTTATTACAACTACATATTACAACAGTATATGTAAAGGGGTTGTATAATTTTTATTTATATAGGGGTTGTATAATTGTTATTATTAATTGTGTAACTACTAAAAACTAGTTAAAGAAAGAATAAATTTTTAATAAATTGCTTGTGTTAGTATAAATTGTTGCACAAAATATTTCAATTTAAATTTGGTTTAAAGTTCAAATAAAATACGTTTTCAAATTTACAAGTAACATTTTATTTTTTAAAAATAAATTATATGTACAAAAGAAAATTCAATATTTATATACAAATTATAAATTGATATTAATATTCATGTCATTAGTATTTGGTATTTTAATATACATTGTGGCGATAATAAAGATAAATATATGCAATATAATAGATATAATAACGCAAAATAGGTTTACGTAAACAAAAACCATTGGATCGGTGGCCAGATATTTGCCGATCACTACTGAACTCAACGTCTGATACAAACCGACGAGGAATATAAAGTAAGAACCCATGATATTAGTAACAGGTGTTATCATTTCAAGCATTTGGTATATGGAGGCGTATACCGGACCCAACCCGAGACCCAACACCACATTTCCGATCCACAATAGGATTAATGAATTATTAGCAAACATATGCAAAATTAAAGCAATCAGTTGTACAATAAGACTACAAAATATAATCAAATTGGGATTCAAATAGTAGGACAGCGGCACACATGCGAGTCGACTGACGGTAAAGGCGGCCAACATTGTCGTATAGATATTGTTGCCCATAGCGTTGGACAGCCGTAGGCCGGACTCGTTGGCAAATGAGGGGAAATATCCGCCCCAATTCATTTGAATAGCGTATGAAAACGCTATCATATTTGCTGACAACACAATCACCATAAGTATGGCTGTGGTTGGCATCAGCTCTGATATAAACTTGTCATTTAGTGTTACAAACATTTTTGATGCCATACTTCGGCCCTTTTTTGATTGCCTTCGTTTGATTTGTCGGGCCGTATATTTGTGTTTAAAATTCAATGCCCCAATAACTAGTCCCCAAAACACTATAATAATGCCCACAAACATGTAGGGAATATTGATCCTAAGAGGTAGAAATGGGTTGATAACGGCTGAGGGAGTGATGAGTGCTCCCACGCCTACCATGACCTGCAGGCCCTGTAAGTATGGGCCGCAGTTATGGCTCCACATCTCGATAATCCATACGCTGACCACAGAGTCGACGGCCCCACAGAACATGCTGTTTACGGCAAAATCTAGATATAAATATGGCAGTGACCCGACGTATGTGTATATCGCTGTGGTTATGCCTATTATACACATGCATACCATGTATGCGATCTGTTTGTCCATCAAATTAAATGCCTGTCCGACTGTTAACATATAAAAGAATTTGATTTATATTATAAATAATATTTTACAAAATTTATTTATACCAATCGCTCCCAATGTGTAAGAATATGACGAAACGGTTACACAATTGGATATTTGGCTGAAGGTCGATTTATAAATCAATTGCAAACTTGGTAGTGAAGCTCCGGTCACATAGTTTTGGATTTGCTTTAATTTTGTTAATAATAATAAAAGTTATAATTATTAGTTGTAAAAACTGTATAATACTGTGTATAATATTGTATAATGATTTTTATAAAAATAAACAATTAAACCAAATTAATAAAAATAATTAAAGTATAACAAACTTACATAAAATAAATAACTGATATAAATAATTAGTGTTAAAAAATATTTATATTTCTTTGAAAATGTCATTTTGTTTGCGATATACTGTATACAGTTATAAATTAATAGTTAAGTTTTTGCACAATATTACACTTCAATGCAACTGAATTTATTAAATTTAAACGTCAATTCATCGTTTATTATTAAAATTATTATTTAAACATAAATAAATAAACAAAAAAAAATTAATTAAAACTTTATAATGATAATTTAAAGTTGAAATAGATTTGATTGTATGTATAAATAACCATTTTATTAGAGTACATTTATTTGTGATACTTTTCATTTGTTTTGTGTTTTGAGATTAACTTTAAATATATTTTTAAAGCCCACAATGATAAATCTATATAAATTTAATCGCTTGCTCAATAACCAAGAGTTATTGTATTACAACTGTAATTCAGAAAATAGTTAATTCATGAATTTTATATTCTTCTTACGTCATATGATGGTAATAATTATTCGCTAATTTATTGTTTATTAGAAAACAACATCATGATTATATTTGCAACTTGTTCTGTTGTTAACCTATCTATTAATTAATGTATGGAACATAAAATACAGATTAATACAAAATAAAATACGATTAATGTATTTAAACGTAAATTTATGCAATAATACATATTCAGAGTAAAATGTATAAAAATTAATTATGAATCAAATTGTATTTTTTATATTAATATTGAACGTTAGACACTTCCCTTTCTGGTCGTATATAGCATTGAACACGTTTTATGATATGATTTTGTAATGAATGGACGGACAAGAGAGTGATTTTTAACAAATATATCTTCAATTAATAATAACTACAAATATAACCATCAGATTTCTTGATTGAATAATTTCTGCAAATATTAAGTAAAATATTAAATATCCTTTAACCATGTTTTCATGTTTATAAATTTAACCGATATTTGAATAAAATAGTGGAAAATTTACTAAAAAATTATTGTCGGTGAGAACGTCTCAAAATGTGCTAAAAGGGTGAAATAAAAATCTCCCAAAATATTGCTAATAGTGTCCTAATATGTCCCCAAACTTTCAGGAGGTTCTCGGGACAAAAAGTTATTTACCATTGGATTCAATGCTTTATTTATTATACGACACAACGTTTGCAAATTGACATATACTCAATGTTTTATAACCCCTTCTTATAACACAATTAGTTACAACAACTGTCATTGAAATATATATTATGATAATTTATGATGCTATTTTTACATGTGGTTGTCTAACTTGTATTGTCATTCACTACATCCGAGTTCAAAACATATTTACAATTATGACATTATTCTATGGTTAGAAAATGCAATAATGAACAGAATTTTTGCCTCAAGTTAATAATTGTATTATGAAATATTATTTCACATTGTTTACCTTACGCAAAATATTTTGCTCATATCATGCATTGTGTTTATGTTATTCTGTTTTCCAATTTGTATTTATTTGGAAATTTTGACATTTGGCGATGTGTCAACATATTTAACATCCTGTTCGTTTAATAACAATAATAAAAACAGAAAAGAACTTCTATTCTGGTACATTTTAAATTCTTAAAACCAAGCCTGATAATTCTATAGCTAAATTCATAAATATAACTAAAATTTTATCCATTATGCTAAAATCGTCAGATTATGACAATTTTTGCGGGATATACCAACGTGACATTTTTAATGACTACTTGCGAACATAGGGGAGGGGTCTAGATTCCTTAAAAAGTGCAATAATATTCTTCATTTAACATGTATAGTACATATACTGTGCATTTAATATATATTAGCTTAATATTTCTAGATTTATTTATTTAGACAATAGAAATAAATGTTAAATTTAGTTTAGTTTAATTGAATTTGTTGTTGAATCCAATCGTAAAATGTGGTAACTCTGGTGTATATATCGGGCTCATTGGATGTGCCGCATGGACTCGAGCCGAGTGAGACCACTCCCATCTGATACCACATACCGGTGCTGTCCTTGCATTGAAGGGGTCCGCCTGAGTCGGCCTCACAGATATCAGTACTCGCCCTCCCCTTAGCGCACACCTCAGCCGTTGTGTTCACGAAGTCNCCGAGTGAGACCACTCCCATCTGATACCACATACCGGTGCTGTCCTTGCATTGAAGGGGTCCGCCTGAGTCGGCCTCACAGATATCAGTACTCGCCCTCCCCTTAGCGCACACCTCAGCCGTTGTGTTCACGAAGTCATATAACTTTTTACATTCATTTGAATCGAAAATATTTTGCTTCACTTTCTGTAGTATATCGGGTCTGTCACCATCTAATTGTGATTGCGTTAGATTTTTTATTATATATTTTATCAAAATTAATCTTGGTAATAAAAATGTTTACGTTCACTCACTATCACGGCCCGTGAATGTGAGTGAACGTGAAAAGTTTACCAAGACTAATCAGGGTTAAAATTTTGAAAACACAATTTACATACCATTGTCTATGTATCCAAAACCAGTGGCCATACAATCGTCAGTGAGTTTAGTGGTTGGTTTTGGGAGACAAATGGGTGCAAGTGTTTTATGCCTGTCATTGAAATCTAATGTTTCGCTCAGTTTAAGTAAAGCGATATCATTGGGAACCACGAGATCGTCGTATTTGATAATCTAGTTTATAAATATTGAAAATTAAAATCAGTTATAATTAGTTCAAATATTATTAATGCTAATTAAACAATAAAGCATAAAAACTGGTAAATAACATGATTACTAACTTTCTCTACTTTAACATCAAACTCATTGACGCCATAAGCGGTGCGATTGTGAACACCGAGACGGACCCTAACACTGGATATATTTTGAAGACGGATAATACAATGAGTGGCCGTTAAGACCCATCGGTCGTTAATTATGGTTTCGCCACAGAAATCATTGTTATCGGGCTGTAGGTTGAGAATGACCTGCCAGGGAAACTCACCCGGAGCTGCATCGCTACCATTGATTACATTCATCCCTATGTCCATAGGTTTTGCCTGAGGTTTGCCACAAACTGGTGACAATTCATTGCAATTCACTATTAAAGCTATATTCAAGCAAAATATAGCAAATAATGTTATATTTGCTAACATTTTGATACTTTATTTTTTAATGAATGTTGAATTTTTAATCCATTATAATTTTATATGCAATTGATATCAGTTTGAGTACCGAAAACATGAGAAATATAACAGTTGTATTGATTTCAAAGCATAATTATCATGAGTATATTGAAATTATGTTTAAGAGTAACATAGTGTAGAAACAAATATAAGGAAAATTATTATCCAGTACAAATACATATAAAATATACAATTACTTTATATTAACTGATGTTTTAATCTAAATTATGTAATATTTTTGGTTTGAAATCTCATCTATTCTTGGAATTGTAGTATGACCTAGAACATTATAATGATGGACTATCATTGATAGTGCCACAATGTTTTCACTTTTAATTTTAAATAGAATAAAAATTAATCACTAATTATTTTTACACTTGATTTATTCATTCAATGGTGGAGTAGTTTCTCAATATAAAATAGATCATATTGCAAAACATTCTTCATACAGTATATAAATTGTGGTTAAGAATAAGTTATGTCTGAAGAAAATAAATAAAAATGTTTACAATATTATTCAATTTATTTGTCTTTTGTATTATCGTTAGCGATAAAGTCGTCACTCAATTATACTATCAGTACTTCATATAACGTTGAGTTTTGATTGTGTTTTATAACAATATGTTTTATTTGTCACATATTTTAATCGTCAAGAAATAACAGTTTAGTTAAAACATAATGATATAGTATTTAAATGTCTGACAAATGAGTTTTGCTTTAATAAAAACCTAAAATAAAGTGATGTCCACTTAATGAACAAATAATAAACTAATTATTTATCTCAAAATCTAATTCCCATTCACTTCGCTGTCAATCCACTCGCTGTAAGCGGAAACCTTTGTATAGACATCGGGTTCGCCGGGTTTGCCGCACGGGTCGGGTCCGTACGAGTTAATGCCGGCCAGAATCCACGCGCCCTCATTGGACAGGCACTGGAGGGGTCCGCCCCCGTCGCCCACACAATTCCTGAAACCTCTAGAGGTGTCGCCAACACAATACTCGTTGTCTATATTCCACGAATACATCGGATCGTAAACATCGGCACACATTTTGGTGTCAATAATGGGTTGACTCGACTTTTGCAACACTTGTTTCTTCTCTATTGGATTTTGTGGAAAGAAATAACGATTCGTTTTTGAATAATTTTGTCGCAGAATTAATGCTTTTTAAATGTATTACTCGTATCGGAGAGACTAAAACCGGTGACCACACAGTTGTCGGTCAGTTCGGTGTCTGCGGTGGCCAAACAAATGGGCGCCAAATGTTTGTGTTTGCCGGTAAAGTCCAGTTTGTCCTTCAATTGGATTAACGCTATATCGTTAGTAACCATTCCCACGTCGTTCTCCGGGTGCACTACAATCTATCACAATTATGTTTTGTTAGTTTGTATGTAGTGTTAATTAAAAACCTTATTTAGTTATAAAAGTTATTATTTAACCAACCTTTTTGATTTTAATGTTAGTGTCGGCGCCTTCTTTGCGGCTATGAATGCCTAACTTAACGGTAAAACCGGAAAAGTCGTCAATAAAGACGACACAGTGAGCGGCGGTGAGAACCCAATTGTCGTTGATTATAGCGGCGCCGCAAATGTCTTTGCCTCCCGGCGTCGCGATGAGCGCCTGCCACGGAAACTCACCCGACATTGTATTCACTGCATCTCTTATACTAAAATCCGTGTCCACACCTCTGGCCTGAGATTTGCCGCAATTCTGAGAGCCATCGCAACTATGTTTATGGTTAATAAAGTAATTAATAGCCGATTTTAAAATAGTTATAATTTTGAATTTTTGTTTAATTACTCGTTAAACTCGGTTTTCTCGCAATAATCGGCACAAAAAACTAAATGTAAATTTAAGCACAGAATTAAAACTAATTGCAATTTGTTTAACATTTTTGTGAGCACTCGAGTGTAAGACTTGCAGAAACTTTTGTACTAATAAATCGAGATTTTTGTAGTTTTTTATACGACTGTCAAGTTTTAATATTTTTTGATGTGATAAATATTAATCCTCTGAAATCTGTGAAAATATATAAATGCATAGAAATATACGCCAAATATCAGAGACAATATTCTTAGATAATGGCGATTATGAAGGCATTTGTCCTTAAATATGTCAATAATTGTCTATTAGTTCGTTGTATACCAAATGTGTAGTTCAAACATATCATTCAATTTGTGACAAACTTATATTGTTTGTCGACTTTTATAATGATTAACATTTGTTCATATATTTTGAAACTTACTTTTATTGGCTATTTATTGCAAAAATCTATTATGTAAATATTTTGTGGTTTATTTTGACTAATATTAACAGTTATTATAACAGTTATCATAGATGAATAAAGTAATAATTAATTTAGTAATTTAATTTTAATTACTACAGTATTTATAGTGATGCTAAACATTTGAAATAAAATTATAATTTTTGCAATTGTTTTGTTAAACACTAAAATATTAAACTCTAATAAACTTATCACAAATATTAATACTAATTAAGATCACAATTAAAAATTATATATTATGTTGATATAAAAGTCAATTTATAATCTGCTAATAGACATCATTGTCAATTTAATAATAAATAAAATTTATATTTAAAATTTGCATTAAAATAATTATTTAAAATAATATAAAAGGATAACATAATAAATTATAGCGATAAGTGTATATTACTGTTAAATAGCGATTCAATGGATAACACTTCGAAAAGGACTCAATTGTTGGCAATAGTATCTGAAATCCAATGGTCAAAACCGGCCACACGTGTGAACACATCTGCATATCCGGGTTCAGCGCAGGGAACACCATATGAAGTGATGCCCACCTCATACCACAGACCATCGGTGCCCTTACACTGTAGTGGTCCACCAGAATCGCCCTGACAGGTGCCGCTCCCACCACTTCCACCACCGCATACATTGGTCTCAGGGTTTACTCGCGTAAACACTAACCGACATTTATTGGTGTCCATCAATGGTTCGGACACTTTCTGAAGAATCTTTGCCTGCGGACCCTCTTTCGTATAAATCATTGTAATTATAACATTCATTACATTAACAGATAACAAATGTGTTGACAAACCTTTGTTTAGATATCCAAAACCACTCGCTATACAATTGTCAGTCAATTTAGTAGTCTCTGTAGCCCTGCATATGGGCTGTAAATTGTTGTCTTTCCCATTAAAATCGAGCATATCCTTTAATTTGATTAAACCAATATCATTTAGTGGGCCCCTGGGATCGGGGTCATAGCCTTCATGAAAAATAACCTGTAAAATTGCCATGGTTGTTTATATTGTAATTGAAAAATTGGTAAATACCATACAGTTTCCACTTTATGGTTGGATTCGTTGCCATCTTTGTTGTCGAGACTGATGTAACCCAACATAACCTCGTATTTGTCGGGATTGGATCCCATGGCCAGGCAGTGGGCGGCCGTCAGAATCCATTGTTGGTCGAGAATAGTGCCGCCGCACCACTCGGCAAATGATTCGCCGCCTTTTGTAAAGTATCTCTTGACAATCGCCTGCCACGGAAACTCACCACGAGCTGCATTTGTACCTGATACTATTAGAGCTCCGGGAGGCACACTTTTAACACTAGAGCGCCCACACCTGTCCCACCCATAACACGAGTATATATTTAATAATATAAGTAGAAAATAGTTAATTGTTTTTGACATTTATTTTGCTTGATATATACAGTATATTGTTATTAATTATTTAATTATTAATAATAGGGTTGTTTTTATTGCTTATTGCAAGTAATGTATGAAATAATGCTTTGGTTTTGTAGTAATAAAAGGGTTTACTGTAAGTAATAAATGAAACCAATTCTACCAATTTTATAAGAAATGATTTCATTTTATTGAGTTTATTGTATAATTATATAAAACTTATCTAAATATTTGTGTACACAATGATTATGGCATTGATTGTACATATTATTCAATAGAAAACATGTGCGAATAATCTGATTGACTATATAATAACTTATGGTAACTATCCATTTGTTATAATAGCTTAATTTAAACATCGGACAGACCTGCATGGTAATTTATCAATTAACTTAACAATTTGTTCATAATTACATTCATTTCTTATTACTAAATTCATAAATGTTAATATATTTTGCAATACATTTAATAATATTCATTAAACTTTGTTTAGAATTGTAATTTTGAAAATATACTTTAAAACTTGTTATATTATTGATATATTACAAATAATTTTTATAATAAATAATTGATATAAAAATAAATAAATAACTAATTGATTGTTTATAACTATTAATATGAGCGCCACTACTGTCTCCGTCTATATATTGAATGGCTTTTTGAATCCACTCATCAAAACCGGCCACACGTGTGAACACATCTGGCCATTCGAGTTCAGCGCATCCAACACCGTATGAAGTGATGCCCACCTCATACCACAGACCATCGGTGCCCTTACACTGTAGGGGTCCACCAGAATCACCAAAACAGGTCCCTTTACCACCACTACCACCGGCGCATACATTGGTCGTGAGGTTTACTCTCGGGTACTTTGATTTACATTTTGTTGTATTGATTAGGGGTTCGTTCACTTTCTGAAGAGTCTTTGGGAGCGGACCATCTATTGTGTAATGTTTATTAAATTAAGTTTATTTGTAAACCAAATAACTGATTAAAAGTGTAATATTACCTCCATTTAAGTACCCGAAACCTGTTGCCATGCAATTGTCAGTTAATTTAGTATTCTCTGTGGCCCGACATATAGGCTGTAATGTTGAGTGTTTGCCATTAAAATCAAGTTTGTCCGACAATTTAAGTAATCCGATGTCATTAATTGTGCCGAAATCATCTTGATCGTAACCGTAGTGAACTATTATCTGAAACATGTCCATTAATATTGTGCTAGAATTAAACTAATATTAACTTATATTTACATACGGTTTGCACTTTATGTTTGGATTGTGAGCCATCGGTTTGGTCGAGATTAAGGTAACCCAACCACACTTCGTATGCGTTGAGGTCGTCGCTGTCGTTGAGACAGTGGGCGGCCGACAGAATCCATTGTTCATTAATAATAGTTCCGCCGCACAACTCATACAATTCGTCTTCTATGTGTCTCGTGATCATTGCCTGCCACGGAAATTCACCTTGCTCAGCGTCCACGCCCCCAACTATGTTCACTCCGGGCGTACTCATGGGGTTTTTGGCGCTAGAGTGGCCACACCTGTCCACTCCATACACTATACGTGCGTTTAAACATATTAGTAACAAAGTGGTACTAATTTTGAACATTTTGTTAAATTTAGTATAGATTTAAGTATAGCTTTGTTGAAATAATTGCAATAAATGTACGAAATAATACATTTTGTCGATACGCTTTTCATTGTAATAATATCTCGTTTCTAAATAAGTTTTTTGTGTAATTATATAATTGTTTATCTCAAGATTTTGTGTACAGTATTATTCAATATAAAACAGATAATAACTGCAGGGGATATGCCAATTGTTTGTTATCACCAAATTAATATAATACTTAGAATTTATTTAGAAATGTTTGTGAGCATATGATTCAGTGTCTAAATAAATATCCTATTATTATTATTATATAATGTCTGGAATTTAATATTTAGCACAACTATTATTAATAATAATCAACATTTATTTAAAACATATTAATTTATTAATTATCTTTAATAACTTTCTGAATCCAATCATTATAAGTGGTAACCCTTGAGAAGACATCTTCCAAGTGGTCGTGATTACAACTGCCGGCGCTATAAGACGTGACCCCTAACTGATACCACTTAATTAATTATCTTTAATAACTTTCTGAATCCAATCATTATAAGTGGTAACCCTTGAGAAGACATCTTCCAAGTGGTCGTGATTACAACTGCCGGCGCTATAAGACGTGACCCCTAACTGATACCACTTGCCATCACTTCCCGGACAGATAAGGGGTCCGCCGGAGTCACCACTGCATACACCGCTCACTCCCTGACTGTCAGCTCGAGTGCAGACTTCAATCGTGTCGTTATAAATACTTGAATATCTCTTCGCACATATGGTTGAGTCAATTATTGGTTGATTCAGTTTCTTCAGTAAATCCGGTCTCTCGTAATCTATTAAACATTTAATACAACATTTATAATAATGTTTACAATATTACAAATAACAAATCCATGCCTTTATTCATTGCCCCAAAACCTACAGATAAACATTTATCGGACACTTTAGTGGCCTTATTTGGCACACATATGGGTTCCAAGTGTTTGTGTTTTCCATTGAAATCTAACGTTTCATTCAATTTGATAAGCGCTATATCGTTGGCTACTTTAGCCATATTCCACTCCGGGTGCTCTACCAACTTAGAAACCATTTAGAAATATTAAAGTTAATAAGTTTTAAAGTAAAATATTTTGCTCACAAGACTGGCAGAGAAATCATATTCCGAGGGCTCGTGTGCTGACCGATTGTGAACCCCTAAGCGAACCAAATAATCGCTTTTATTATGACTGCCGAGAAAACAATGAGCCGCTGTTAGGATCCATTGGTCAGCGATAATAGTGGCCCCGCACTGGTCGTCCCATTGGTCATCGATCCACTCGGCCAACAACGCCTGCCACGGAAACTCTCCCACCGATGCATAACTTCCGCCCTCTATTCCCGAGTTTATATGTAGTTTACTCTTAGATTTACCACAATTTTCCGGCAATTCTAAGCCCTGTATTGAACTAAATGTTAGACCGAATAATACAATTATTGTGTGTGTATTCATGTTTGCAACCGAATTAATTTGTAAATGTAAGTTCTTTGGTTTTATAATATACAGTGTACTGTATTATACACTTATGGGAAATACATCACTTGTTTTGATATGAAGTTTACATGTAATTTTTATTTAAAAGTTAATCCAATAAATAAATTAGTGGTTATCTAAAATAGGATATTGTTAAATATTGCCTAACATGCACTTTTGATTGTTGATTAATTTATTTACAATAAAGTATATTTAAAATTAAATTATATTTAATATTTTATTTATTATTGATATAAAAAATTACATTATAATTTTATTTAATAAAATTAATTTTGCTGTTTCTGTTAATTTTAATTATTCTCAATGATCTCTTGCATCCAATCTGTATAATAAGCGACTCGTGTAAACACATCGGGTATATTTGGATGAGCGCAGGGGCGGCCCCAAGAAGTCACACCCATTTGATACCATTTGCCCTCAGAATGGGAATAACACTGAAGAGGACCACCAGAATCGCCGAGACATGTGCCCAAACCTCCGGCACTGTTACCACCCGCGCATATATTCCTCTCCATATCTATTGATTTCATTATTTGCAAACATTTTGTTAAATCATAAATCGGTTCCAAGACTTGCATTAGTGTTCTGTTGGAATCGTCGGCTAATTATTTTAATTGAATTTAATGATTAAAAAATTTATATTAATTAATCATTTTGTTTTACAATAACGTACATTTGCTTTGCGATCCATAACCAGTGGCCACACAATTATCTGTCGGTTTGTTTATGAGGTCCGGTATGCAAACGGGTCGCAAGAATTTGTGTTTAAATTTAAAATCTAACGTTTCATTTAATTTAATGATCGCTATATCGTTAATTTGTTTGTCGTAATCAAAGTCTTGGTGTGCGATAATCTACACAATCATTTGTTTGCATTAATATAATATTAATTTTATTATTTAGATAATAATCAATACCTTAGAGGCGGATAATCTCAATGAATTTTTAGTTTTAATATCGAGATTGTTGTAACCTAGATATATAAAGTATAATCTAGGATCTTTACTCATGTGCACGCAATGAGCTGCTGTAAGAATCCAATTCTCGTTGATAATAGATCCGCCACAAGACATGAGAGGCAAGGGTTGGCCATCAACTATGACCTCAATGTTAATGTTGGCCATCCAGGGCCAGTCGGACACACTGGTAGTTTGACCGCCCACTATCTTCCCGCCCGCCTTCTTATAGACACTTTGCTTTAAATTTTGTCCGCAATTTTGTGGTAGTTTTAAACAATTTGCTAAATAAAACACTGCTATTAATACTGGTATACAATAATATAATTTCACTTTGTTTTTAAACATTTTTTCTGCTTTTTATGTTTTAAATATTTTATTAACGATTAACTCTAAATTTTGTTTATTAAAAATATCTAATAAATAATTTGTTTTTATATGTAATGTCTTATCAAAACAAATTGTTTTTTGTTAACTCAATACGGATGAGAAAGTAATTATTTATTTACTTTGTTTTTATTTGTTGGTTGTCTTCGGAGTTGTAAACTAAGTTAAATGACATTATATTCAATCCATTGTCTATGAGTTACGATTGAAACAAATAAATGCATTTTATGTCATTGCATTCATCAGCAAATGTTCTTGTAATTTTATTTGTCATTTGTTATTTTTCTAGGAATTAATATAAATTTAAGTCAACTCTAATCCTTTATTAATAATATTTTTTATAAATGTTTAAATATTATTTTCAAAATTTATGGCATAATTATTTAGGAATATTTACATTTAAATAATTTTTAGTTTTGTTAAAACAGTTTAATTTCTTGTGTTATATTATATTTTAAATAGTAATTTATAAATGTTTAAATATTATTTTCAAAATTTATGGCATAATTATTTAGGAATATTTACATTTAAGTAATTTTTAGTTTTGTTAAAACAGTTTAATTTCTTGTGTTATATTACATTTTAAATAGTATTTCTATAAATAAAGTAAAAATATTATTACAAATTATTAAAAATGAAAATTTAGTTCACACTTACAGCATGAATATGCAAATATAAAACTTTACATGTTTGTAGATATTTGTTATTCAAACACATACTAAGAAATTAATATACAATTAGGAGTAAAAATGTATAAACACTAAACACTAATTAATTTATAAATACTATTAATTATGTATTAGACGCACAAAATATTAATTATAATAAAAATGCAAATCTCTTAACGACTACTTTGAAAGGAATCCAAGTCATAGCTAGTGGTATACGGATAGTACGGATCACCGGTCGAGTAGTCGACACTATCCTCGTC